TATATATATATATATATATAGTAAATCAGAAAAAAGAATTTGCCTAGGTTTGAGCCAAGTTGGCAAAGGGTCTGATCCTTTTTGGTTCTGGCTGCCACAGAGAGGTGGTTGTCTGCTCTGGCTTAAATACCAGTGGGCACAATTCTGAATCTTGCATCTGCCGGTCATATTTGGGAGAGTGAGGGCAAGGCCACCAATTTCCCAGTTAGTATTTTGTTTCCCAGCTGGGAGAATAATAGTGCTGCAGAGATCCATTCTAGTCCTACACTTGCCAAACCATTTCCTTTCCTAGTTTTGCCTACCTTCTCAGTTCTGTTTTGTCTACTCCCATGCATAAAAGTAGCTGCTAATTAGACAAAAAGGGCCAAGCATCAATTATATCAGAATTTTTGTTATCATGGGGTCTTGTGACATTTATTTCATTTTGCTTTAAAAGTTAAGTAAGCCTTTGCATACTCGTCTTACCAAAAGGACTATAAAGTTTCTGAGGCTAGGATCTCTATTTTGCATCTCTTATGCCTCTTCTCCAATGCCAGCACTAAATGCAGATGTTCAGTAATCTTTGGTTGAATAAGGTTGATGAATGGGCAACATAAAATTAACACTGGAGTGGGCTAGCATATGGCATTGTGGTTAAGGCACTGGACTCCCACATAGCTGACTGCATTTCAAGTTCTAGACCCAGCAGCTTGAAAATGACACCGGGCACATGTGCATGTAGGCCCAAAATCCCAAGAGGAGAATGGAGATGAAGGGACTGTGGCATGGCCATCCCCGATGGGGGGTGGGGGGGAGGTGATTTCTCACTTTCCTTCTTCGTTTTTCTCTGTCTCTATTTAGCAAATCCATGTACCTCCATGACAAAAATCTAAACAAAACAAAACCTTAACATTGGAAAAAATAATCAGTAATCTTTCATTTTAATTCCAGCTCCAACCTTAATTTTCTTTTTGACCTGGAGGAAGTCATTAAACCTCAGATTCCCCATTTGAAAGTATGGATCAGGGTGATCCTATGGTCTAAATCCCAGATTCTTCATTAAAAAAGTAGGATAGGGCTGGTCTCATGGTCTAGCAGTTAAGGGAGTTGGATTCTACATGACTGACTGAAATTCAAATCCTGGTCCAGACAACTTGAGAAACACTCGGGGCATGTGTGTATGAACCCCAAGCCCCAACAGGGTAGTAAAATGAGAGAGATTACAATGTAATCACCCCCCATTGGGAGGTGCTTTGTCCCACTCTCTTTCTCTGTCTCTTTCTGGTGGGCACACACACCCTTTGGCTTATACACAAGCACAACAACAAATATATAGAAATAAAAGAAATAGAGACCATAATGCCTATCCTTATCCATCACACAAGGCTGTTGTAAAGATCAGTGACACATTGCATGAGAAAGCACAATTACACTAAAATCATACTGCAGAAATGTCACATGACTGATACTTTTAATAATTGTTAACAGAGAAGAATTCTTGCAGACTTGTGGCAGAAAACAAGCAGAGACTATCCCCTTTCACTGGGGCCATCATGCCACCATCCATTCCTGCCCTGACTTCCCCAGTGATAGCCTCCATGGATAACTAAAATATTGTAGATGGTTCACAGTGGGGTTAGCCCTGCAATATGTGTTTTATTCTATTGTAAAAGTTGAAAGTTAAACATCTGCCTGAGAGAAATATTCATCATAATATATGAATACCATCTGTGGGCAGATGGTCAAGCACAGACAGGTCAAGGATGGAAGAAAGTCTCACAAGACAGGGTATTTTTGAAAGTTGACCCTGAAACTCCCTGATGAGCCTACTACAGCTGTCTGTTCACCTGCCACTGACCCTTGGCTCCCTTGCAACTTTGAGCATCTTGCCCACCAGCTCAGTATGCTCTCACTCTGTCTCACACACTCTGTTGCTCTCATTCTGCTTCTCTCATTTTCTCTCACTATTTTGTGCTCTTTCTTGATCTATCCAGAAAGCATATGAAAAAATGCTCAACATTCCTCATAATAAGGGAGATTTAGATCAAAACCACAATGAGATACCACCCAACCCCAGTCAGAATGGCAAAGATTAAAAAAGAAATGATAAATGTTGGAGGGGATGTGGTGAAAGGGGAACACTCCTAGACCGTTGTTGGAAATGTAAATTGGTCCAGCTAGTGTGGAGAATAATATGGAGGTTCCTCAAAGACCTTCAAATAGAACTACCATATGATCCAGTAATTCCAGTCCTTGGTATCTGCCCAAAGGACAGGAGAGCACTCAATCGGAAAAGTGCTTGCACAGCTATTTTCATTGCAGCATTATTCATGATCACTAAGACACAAAACCAACCCAAATGTCCACAAACAGATGAATGGATTGAAAACGTGTGTCACATATACTCTATGGAATACTATCCAGCCATAAAAAACAACAGGGTTGGGACCAGCATTTAGCATAATGGCTATGTCACTAGACTCCCACGTAGTCGACCGCGGTTCATGTCTTGGACTGGGTGGCTTAAAACTCACGCCGGGTACGTAAAAAAAAAAAAAAAAAAAACAGGGTTCTGGAATTTGATAGAAAGTGGATGAATATGGAAGACTTGTTACTGAGTGAAGCAAGTCAGGCTATGAAAGACAGACATGACATTGTATGTCTTCACTTAACATATACCAACTGTCCACACTCTACGGTAGATATTGAAAGAGTGGAGGACATAAAAGCATTAAAAATTGTTATGAACACTAGAGACAAGTGGAAAGAGAGTGTGGGAGGGGAAAAACATAGGAAAGAAAATTGGGGGAAAAATAGAGAGGTAAGACACTTGTGGGACACAGATATATATGGCTTATTATCTGTTGATGAGAATGCGATAGTATTTTCAACTGGGCTGGACAGAGGTGTATATCATGCTAGGTAAATTCTCTTTAAAATCTAAATGATGTATAGCAATTGAATGTATGAATAATAATAATAAAATAAAATTTTATAAAGTAAAAAAGAGAGAGATTTCTGCTATAGGGCATATGCACTTGCCAGAGACAGAGAGAGAGAGACAGAGATAGAAAGCAAGAATTCACCCCCACAGGGGGGAATGGCCAGACCATAATCCCTTCTCCATTCTCTTCTCAGGATTTTGGGCACACGTGCATATGTACCTGCTGGATCCAGGACTGCACCTGTGGTTGACTGCATAGGAGTTCAGACACATAACCATTATGCCTTCTTCTGGCTCCTTGAAAAAGGTTCGTAAAATAAGTTTTCTAATTGATATGAATGAGAAAGGATCATTTAAATCAGAAGAATATCGATGATTCATGCAAAACATGGAAATATTAAAGACTGGGGAGATGTTGAAGATGTATAAATAACTCAGTAGCATGTGATTACATAAAGTGTGTGTTTGTGTGTGTGTGTGTGTGTGCATGCGCACACATGCATATACTCAGTAAGGAGGTGGAGCTGGAGTGGTACAGAGGAAACACTATGAAGGGCATTGTGTGGCAGTCTAAAGTATGGACATTGTCTCTTAGGAGATGAATATCCACTAAAGATCATCAGGCACCGTACTCAGGCTGCAATTTTGAAAGAGAGCCTAGAGTAATGTGAGACTAGTGGCAAATGTTTGGCAAAGAAACTCCAAAAGGCAGGAAGTTGGAGAAGTTATTTGTATCCGGAATTGGAAGAATTCACAGATTACATGGATGCAGGGCCTCCCCATGAGAATGGAGTTTAACTTTCAGATTCTTGATTGAGATGATTGGGTGGATAATGGTTTTGTCAATAATGCTAAGAGAAGCATGGGTTTGGGCTAATGATGAGTTTACTGAAGCATTCTGGGTTACAAGAAAAGAAAGATTTGAATCAAGATAATACAAGTGGTAGTTAAAGTCACAGCAATAAATGAATGAGGATGTCTGGTTAAAAGAGAAAAGGAGGGACCAGCAGATAGCATAATGGTTATGTCGCTGGACTTGCACATAGTTGACCGTGGTTCAAGTCCCAGACCTGGTGACTTAAAACTCGTGCTGGGCGTGTGTGCATGACTGCCCAAGATCCCAAGAGGAGAATGGAGGAGAAGGGATTGTGCTACGGCCGTTCCCCCTGAGGAGTTATTTCTTGCTTTCTGTTTCGCTGTCTCTCTCTGTCTCTCTGGCATGTGCACACACCCTAGAGCAAAAATCTCAAAAAAAAAAAAAAAAGACAAACTAGATATAATAATAATCTAAGAAATAGCCAAGGGGGACCAGCAGTTAGCGTAATGGCTATGTCACTGAACTCCCATGTAGCCGACTGTGGTTCGAGGCCTGGACCCAGTGGCTTAAACTCATGCCAGTCATGTGTGCGTGCGTGCCCAAGATCCTGAGAGGAGAATGGAGGAGAAGGAGAAGGGATTGCGGCATGGCTATCCCCCCTGGGGGGGGGGGGATTTCTCGCTTTCTATCTCTTTGTCTCTGTCTTTCTGGCTAGCGCATGTGCCCTATAGCAAATACCTCTCAAAAAAAAAAAAAGAGCAAAGAGCAAACCAAGAGATGGAATAGAAGAGAGAGAAAAACAGTCAGTTACTGAAACATGCCCAGGTGGGTATATGGCATCGTGTTTGAAGACCAGAGTCTCTAAGTAGTTCAAAAAAGCATTCAAGGCAACAGAGAGTTCAAATAGGATTTTAAAAATGTGAGCCATTTTTAAGTAAACTATTTATTGATCAAGTATTCAATACAACTCAGATTTGACAAGTCAGAAAATTCTGCTGAGTCTTGTTTAAATGGATGAGAGTGGTGTGGTAAAAGCCAGGCTGCTTTGTATTCTAAGATCTTAGTAGTGGAAAACATAAAGATTGCACCTAGCATTTGTGTGTTTAGGCAGGAGATAGAAAATATATCTTGGTGTGTGTCTAAGACTACATCATCCCTGAAACTCGATCACACTATTGCATTTTTCTTTGTCCAGTGCTCAAATTAGAAGCACTCTTCTCTCAGTGAAGCAGTTCTATCACCCCTTTTGTAATCTCTTAAGGGAAAAATGAAAACAATTACACTATAGACATTGAAAATTAATGGCAGCTTAACTCAGTTTATCTATAATCCAAAATGATCAATAAAATATACTGTCCAAGTATTCATGAGCTAACATCTGTTGAAAAGATCATAGATTATCCAAGTAGATGATTCTGTATATAACATCTATCATTTCATCTCTACTCCATTTGAGTAGCTGAATGTGTAATATTGTTTTTTAAACAAAAGAATAGAGGGTATATAGTTGTGTGTAAAACTGCTGTATAAATTCTTGCCGTCAGTAGGCTTTAATGTCCTTATTAAGGATTTGTGTGTATATGTAGGTATGTATGTTTTTTGTAGCACTAGTTGATTACTTAGGAGTATAGGAATTGACTATGACAGGAAGAAGGCAATAAGTTTCTGATAAAGGAAGCAGAGTGGTTGAGAATGATAAGAAAACAAATGCTCTTAGTGTAGGAGAAAAGAAAGGAAAAAGGTCAAAGAACCCATGACAAATCTGAAGTTGAACGTTCAAGGGAACAGAGAGTGGAAAGAGAAGGAACCACAATGGCTCCCCCAGCAAAGGTAACAAAATAGAATGAAAAAGAAATAAAGCAGATGCTGAGGTCAGGAGGTGCAAGTCCAGTGTTTGAAATCTTGCATGGAAGAGAGGAGAGCATTTCCCAGAAAGATAGTCAAAGACAAGAATGTGTAACGCATGTGTAGGAAGCCATTGATTATGAAAGCATGGCGCATCAAGATGGGAAAAGTGTCTTGGCTGCTGATTCCACCATCTATTATAGCCTTTGCACAGCTCTACCCCATCCTGTAGTTACTTAAAATCTGAGAAGGTGAGAAAACCAGTCCTTTGGTGTTTACATCCCTGTAGGGAACAGCCATTGGGTTGCTTGAAGGAATTTGTTTTATGTGTTCATAAGTTCCCATTGATAACCAAAGATTGATTTTTGAAATAAGTCATAAACTTGGGTCTTATAATTCTTTTAAACTGTGTAATTACTTGCTTCATGGTTCTTATCCAGTGTGAAGATTTTGACCTCATTCAAAAAATAATTTAAAAATGGAAATGTACTTGACATCCTAAAACTGCATGTATTTAAAGTGTAAAGATGGACACATTTTAACATATGTACACATCAGTGAGGTTCACATCAATAAACCATCAACACAATGAAGACCTAGCCCAAGTTTCCTTATTTCCCTTTGTAAATTCTCTCTGGCCTTCCTGTCCCTATCCCATCCTGGCCCCATCTTCTGGCAACCACGAGCTGGCCTTCTGTTAAAATAGTTTAGCTGACGTTTATTAGAATTTTATATAAGTGGAATATTACACATGTACTCTTTCGGTCTGGCTTTTGTGATTTAGTATAATTGGAGATCATCCATGTTGTTTAGTATCAATACTTTTTATTTTTATTTATTTTTACCCTAGAGAGGGCTCATCAGGGAGAGAGACGACACACAGACAGAGGGAAAGTGAGAAATCAAACCCCTGGTGGGGGGGATGGCCACACCTCAATCCCTTCTTCTCTATTCTTCTCTCAGGATTTTGGTCACACACACATGCACACACACCCCTAGTGTGATTTTCATGCCGCAGGGTCCAGGACTCAAATCATACTCTTGGCTAAGTATGTTCCAACCCCCTAACCACCACGCCACCTATTGGGACACTTCATTCCTTTTTATTGATGAATTCTAATGTATTGAACAGATACACCACAATTTATTATTTATTTATTTGTTTTGAACATTTAGGCAGTTTCCTGTTTATAGATTTGAGAAATAAGAAGCTAGCATGAGTATTTGTGTACAAGTGTGGAAGCAGACTTTCACTTCTTGTATGTAAACACCTGGAAGTGAAATGACTGGGCTACATAAAAGGTGTGTGTGTGTACACACACACACACATATATATATATTTATATATAAAAATATAAAATAGATGTATATATTTATATATATATATTTTATTCTAACTTTTTAGAGATATTTTTAAACTGTTTTCTAAAGCAATAGCATCATTTTACATTCCTACCAGCAGTGGGAGTGTTCCTGCTGCTCTGTGTTCTCACTAACAATGGATATGATTGTTCTTTTTTAATGTTAGATATTTTAAGAGAGCTGTAGCAGTAGGTCATATTGTTTTATTTGCATTTCTGTAATAATTAGTGATGTTGAGCATATTTTCATTTATTTACATATATTTCTGTATTGGTAATCCGATCAAATTGTTCATTATCTTAAGGGTTTTGCTTTTTCACTGGTAATTCTGATTTCTACATTCTGAGTACTACTCCGTTACTAGATACAATTTGTGAATATATTCTCTTGGCATGCAGTTTCTCTATCATGATTGTAACTGTGACTTTTGAAGAGTAGAGTTCTTAATTTTAATAAAATCTCATCTTTTAAATGAATCATATGTTTGCTGTTGTGTCTATTAAAAATCTACCTAACCCATGGTTACAAAGTCTTTCTCCTGGAAATTTTATAGTTTTAAGTTTTACATCTATGCCTAGAATCTATTTTCTGTCAATTTCCACATATGGTGCAAGATATCAAACGTTTTTTGTTTTGTTTTGTTTTGGCATATGGATATCTAATCCATTCAGAACACTTTGTCAAAAACATGGTCTTTTGTACCCTGACATGCTTTTGTATTTTTAATGAACATCAACTAACCACACATAAATTCTTCTATTTCTGGACTTTATATTCTGTTCCATTCATTTATTTTTCCATGCGATACCAACACAACACTGTATTAGTATAGTTATGTATACTACTAGGCCTTAAAGTCATATAGTGAAGTTCTCCAAAGTTACTTTTGTCAAATATATTATTTATGATTATTATTGTTATTATTTTGTTACTCTATGTTCATTACATTTTTACATAATATCTAGAATCAACTTGTCAATTTCTATTTAGAAAATGCCCTTTCTAATTTTGGTTAGGAATGTTTTGGATCAATAGATCAGTTCAAAAGAGAATGAACATATTAAAAATGTATTTTATGATCCATAAACATACCATATTTTTCTATTTACTTCAGCATTCTTTAATTTATCTCAGGAATAATTTTGTCACTTGCAACATACAAGTACCGTACATTTTTGTCAGATTTATTCCCAAGCACTTCATATTTTGATGTTATCGTAAATGGAATTTTTACATTTCAATATCCAATTCCTGCTAGTTTATAGAAGTGTGATTATTTATAT